ACACACGAAGTTTCACTTCGTGGCTTTCCTCTTCGAGGATCAATAACGATAAAATCGATTATCCGTTTACTGTTTTTCGTTTTCCCTGCAAAAAGAATGATACGATATATTTAACACGTTGATCCACATGTGAGTAACACAGCTTTTCTGCCAAAACAAATCTGTTTAGAATACGTAAATATTTATGAGAATACAAAAATGAGTAATACAGTACTCCATACAATAATGAATAAAAATCACGATAAATCATTGCGATCGAAACTAAACGCGAGACTGAACACATTCCCAATACGATAATAAAGTCGCGATTTCAAATTCGCTGGAGTAAGCGACATTCCAACGATGGACAAACATTTCTTTTTTCTTATCGCTCGACTGCAATACGGTAAATCAAATTAACGCCATGGAAAGTTACACATTTCGTTCGAAACGCATGGAGCAACGTGCTACGCGTTCTAATTACTCCATACAACATTACACAATCATTAACTGCCGCTAATTAATAGCATTACATAATGCGTATGCATCCGATCCCGTGTAACCGAAACGAGATTAATTTTTGTATCGCGTGTCTGGCTCGTATAAAAGAAATCTGACGAATGTCTGTGTTACACGGTTAATTTGCATGAAAATGACGAGGGGATTCGTACATCGTAGGTATCGTTTAAACGTTATAAACGCAACAAATATTTGCATTATATCTATCATTGGTGCATTTTATGGATTGTTTTTCTAAAATTTCTATTACTTCTGAAAATACATGGTGATTTTTGGGACACCTCATACGACACAATTTGCACATTCGCGAAAACTGAATACATAGTAGTGATATAAGAAATTTTGATTACCCAGAGTGAACTATTATTAACTATAATTATAAGGAACGTCAACGATGTATGTAATTACCAGTTTATTCGGTAAATTGTGTTTTAATTACACTAAATCATTCACACTTAGCGGAAGAAAAATAAACAGAATTTTTGTAACTTCGTTTGACGCTCTTTACATGACAATTTTCTCGACCAAGCTGTAGCTTGATTAGACGCAAAATTTTGTATTAGAAACCATATAAATTTGAAATAATGTAGATCTTCCGTTGCTTGAGCACACTTTGCACACACACTAAGTTGAACGAGTATCAAAAACTGCTACTTTAAACACGATTACATTTATCCTGATTGCCTGTACGTGTCACGAACGACCGGTATGATCTATTTCCGCTCGAAATCATACTAGGCTTATTAACTGACTCTGTAAGCTGATTTGACGACGAATTCGTTTTATCTCCTGCACCCTACTGGATATGTACAGGACTTGGAAAGCACAGTCAACGGCAGTTAATTCAACCCCATTGTGTCTTTAAAATAATGTACTTCGAATTAAAGTAACTAGAAAATAATCTGTCTACATTCGATACAGTTCAACTAACAGTTCAACTAACGTACAATATTAGATATACAATATCTTCCATAATGTCTAAATAATCATTGGAACGACAGCTCACACAAATTTATTTGATATATATTTCACTCGATCTATTCGAGAACCAAATATCTCAACACGAAATAACCTCAAATTCGATCGATCTTCGGATCTCCATCGATAAAGAGAACCTGTTGCTTAAGAGGAATTTTCACCACGCTTACTATAATTCTGTGAGCCTTACCTTTTTCGTCACAGAGGTCAGCAGAAATTCAAGGATCGAACGTCGCGGACGCGCAACATTCACGAAAAAAACCGATAAATCGGACACAAAGTAAACATACTGACCTAATCATAATATCTCGCCCCGAAAGGATCCCGAACCGGCAGAAGCTCATTCAGCGAAGAGCGCAAGCTACCTTCTGATACAACACTTCCGGCAGCACTTTTATTTTTGTCTTTTACCGTCCCTCTTGATACAAACGAAGTGTACGACTTGGCCGAGGCGTCGATAGAGAGATAACTAAATCACTACGAAGGGGTCAGTTCGCGGCGAGTACGTCTGTCAATCTGTTAGTACCACTGCCATCTCAGGGACGTCGCACGGGACCGCGAAATCAGGCAGTGGGACCCCTCCTCTCACCCCTCCTTCCGCTCTACCGCCCTGCAATAGTAGAAAAAATGATATTGTCGTCGAGGGGTATAATATGGTCGATCATTGACAGCTTCGCGGAAGTAATAAAACTCAAGTTAAGAATAACTACCGTATACTAAAAGTTATATAATTTTATAATCGTTCAATAAAAATGATTTGTTGTTTGGAGGTCTCGTCTAAGCAAAGAATAACGAAGAACATTTTCGAATCCATGCCTGTTTCAATACTTATTTCTACTACTTTAGCTACGTTAACAATAAATCTACGATTTACAAACGATTAGGGACGATAAATAAATCGCGATCGCGGAACCGTGACATTTTTTACTTTACTTACATTCGTAGACTTACGCTCTTCACGTCGGCATCTATTCACCACTTGTTCATGTCTGTCGAAAAATTGCAAATGGCGGAGCACTAATGCATCAAGCCCGCCAAAAGGATACGCATGAAATTACGGTGGAATATCCAATTAGCGAATCGTTGTACGCGAAACGATTGCAACGTTGATTTAATTTTCCCGAGCGTGGAACTTTTAAGTAATTGCGAGCAGTAAGTACGACCAAGCGGAAAAACAATTCTACGTTATGATTTATATTGGCAAGTTAAAAAAGAAAAAGAGAGATTACCGAAAGGCCTCTGCACCCCTGTGCCCAGGCTCGAGTTAAATTACTATAGAAGACTTTATCCACTTTAGGCACTGGCCGTCAAGCAATCATCCTATTGCCGTACCATAGTATCATGAATGACGGTAAGAAAAGCTACCGAGAGCCGGTTACCACAAGTTCCCCTGAAATACTATGTGCCGCTCACTCTCTTGTATTCCCACGGTCCACTTCGTCAAGAGAAAACAATACGAAGCAATATTTTCAATCGGTCTAACACGACAAAACAAGATCCGTCTCGTCACATGTCGTGACAGTTGATACGTTTGTCAGTTTTGCTTGACGCACTAATGAGACGGAATACAGTTTTTATCGTTTTTTTACTTGGCTAAAGTATCAGATGATCAAACATCGACGAAAAGGACGAACAAGGTTACGAACTCCAGCCAAAGCAAATCGCTACTCTAACCTCTTCGGGTCTGATGTAATGTACAATGAATCTTGATATTATTTTTTACTAGAAAGTAATTCCAGAGATTTTTGCATACTTACAATTGATCTCTATGATTTTCCATGACACTTCGCTATTTTTTCTTTATGTAATATCGATGAAAACAGTTGTCATATCGTAGGGGAACTTGACAGGTCAGCTAGCCGAAACAAAGTAAAGATAATTGTTACCAATCTAAGGTAATTCGAGTAGTGATCGGTTATCGAGGGAGAAGAACGATACGCGCGACTCCATAGTGCGAAATGGTAACGAAAGAAACACAAGTTGGTCAATTGTGCGTGGGTATATAAAGCTGGAAGATCCGATAAACAGCATTCAGCTTGGAATGCAGGAATGCGATAGACTTGGCGTTGATTGAATTTTTCTTAACGCTTCACATCAAGGAATTCGTCGCGCTAAATGTTCGCGATCAACGAAGCTTCTTATTGCGTCTCTCGCCACTTTAAGAAGCCACTGTGAGATAATGACCCAATTAGATGTCATTTACACGTGAGTCATATTGCCAATTTATCCATGTCCGGCTGCTAGGCTTTAATGCCTTACGTGTACGGTTATCCGTGTTTGGTATAGAAAGGTAAACCGCCTCGAGTAGCGTGCACCTGCGAATTCTATTTTCCCAGAAACTGTTGACACTATTCTATCGACTCGCAGCTACGGGAAACATTTCGGAAAAGATTGTCGAATTCCTAACCTAACAATATTCGATACAAAGATATTCGATACTATATAGCAAAGAGTCCCAAACAATTCCAGAACTATTTTCCTCGGCCTGAACGGCCCATTTCTTGAGTTGGAATAAAGTACCAAATATTGGCCACTGCAACGTAACCTACATTCCATGTTCTTGCAGGGTATTATCAAAAGAAATTCAAGATATAAAGAAAAGTTGCATTCTGCGATTTGCTAGAGTAAACAAACAGAAGTGAAAGTATTTCATAGGATCAACTGGGATGCGTCTAAGTCGTCTGAATGAAGACAGAAGGATTGATAATTGCCGACGCAACGTCTAGCAGCATTCCGTTGGCGAGAGGGGGCTCAAAACTAGTTCGTCACCGACTAACGTCGAAACCTCTCGTTTTCTTAGCCACCTAGTATACACATCCGGTCGGCGGGCACTCTGCAACTTTCCTACTTCATTCATCGACGCATTCTGTGGCCTTTGAAGGTTGCACAGGCAGAAAGGAGCGGACACGGTCGCGCGCCGACGATCAGAGTCAGCCGGCATCCACCATCCACGCCGACCAGTTTCAACATAATAATTCCTTCTTGGAAATATACCATGGTACCACTGCGTTTTGCAGCGTCGGGGATGGAAATCGCATTTGTTATGTGTGAACCAAACCGCGGACACTGCTGTGCCGTCTTTCAATACCTTTTTGCCCGACTTTTTCCATGGCACTATCACTGCCGTAGCGTCAGAGCTGGACTCGTAATTAATTATATCGTTGCGCGCAATCAACCGTCGCTGCGCGACTGGACGTTCTCTCTCTAAATTTTCTTTTGAATAATCGTTTCTTTAAGAATTTAAAATATTGTTTTTGTCGTTGAATATATGTATAATTTTAGAAAATGTTTCCATCTATTTTGCGTTTCTTCGTGTGTATACAATGACCTTCTAAAAACAACTTTGTAGTTGTGCTTTTCAGATTTCGTTGAAAAAGTATTGTCTTGAGCAATGATATAAATAATCACTAGTGATTCAGTTCTTCGTTTCACTACATTGCTCTGTAACGCGATAAGAAATTGTGGACCATGCGACTTGTATAGCAGGAAGTCGTAATGATAGGGAGCACGGCATCAATGAAATGGTAAACTACCAATGACTGGAATACTATCGTCATCCCCGACGGTCCTACGTCACCTTTGGGTCAGCAACCGTGACGTGGCTTTCACCGAGCACGCTGATCGCCATAAGTGTCGCAATTTCTTGCAATCGATCAACCGCTTTCGTTACGGGATTAAAAATAACTTGTAGATGAAGGTAACGTTATCGTCACGATATCCTTTGTATACTTCACGCGAATACATTAATTAATATACTAACAAAGACTTCTCCAAGAGAAAACTGGACAACCGGCAGTGTTAAAGATATGATCACAATGAAAGCACGCTGTGCTGTTTAGGAATACATGATTTTAACTTTTTCAGTCATCAAAATTCTCAATATATTAACCACTCTGATCATTACAGATGCAAAGAGGACTCGCGAATTCGTTGACGAACGGAATTTCTGCGGAGGTAGCCCAGATCGAGATCACGATACTTTCCATCTCGAATCACGCAGTCAGCATTTAACGAACGTTCCACGTAAATAATGTAACGGCGAGAACATAGCCTGGGAAACGGTGCCCGATACCAGGCGAACTCCGCGTTCCATCGAAAATTCCGTTCGTTCGGTTCTCAGAGCGCACACAAGTAAGTGTTCGCGTTTGTGGCTGTCGGTGCACGTGCGCGAGAGCGCCCTCCGGGGTGAAGGGGGAAGGTTATCGATGGCGCCTCGCAGAGAAGGAGAGTAAAGAGAGAAAGGAGAAGAGAGGGCGCAAACGAAGAAGAAGGAGGTGGAAAGGAGATAGTTCAGGCACGTCGCACACAGGTAAAACCGTAGGTATAGCTAGCGATGGGACTAACACCGTTTCGATGATTTCTCACTACGAGCTTTAACACTTATCATGGATAATTAGCGGTAGATAGCTTTTTTTAACAGTTCTTCTACTTTTAGATGATCAAACTTCAAAATGCTCCCGCACGAGTATTGATGAGATGGCTACTAACGCAGACTAGATCCACTTCAGGAACTTTATATGCAGATATAAAAAAGCAGCATATTAGAAAAAAGCAAAGCATCCAAATTATCACTCGCTCTCGACACTCTTTGTCGCGCGGTAGACTTGATGTGAGCTCGTGAGCTATAGGTAACAGCGAATCTGACGGCAACTTAATCGCCATTTTGGTTACCACTTTGGTATCCAATTGCTTGGTACCATTGTTACGTATCACGTTAGTCCCATTGCTAGGTGCAGCCGATACGTTTGTGTTGCGCGGGAGCGAGATAGTGTGGACCGCGTGCCGGAATACGCCGGCAGTCAATGGTGGGGAGAAAACGTGAATGATCCATAGAAGTTCGTAAGGTTGTGTGGTCCAGGCGAGGAGCGTGTGTCGGCCTGTACAGAGCAGTGTACCGACGAAGGAGAACTGAACAGTGTGGAACGGTGGGAAACGTCAAAGGAATGGCGGGGATACGCGGCAACCAGAGAAGTGGGGTGCGGGTTGGCGGTCGGTGGTTCGGAAATGGCCGCGGGAAAGTAGAGAGCGTTACGTCGTCCGGGGCAGGCGAGCCAAAGATTTTCGGTGTGCGCGGTGTGCCCTCGTTAACCCGGCGCTTCGGGCGATTTTCACCAAGGCACTCGAACGCACTGGCGATGTTCTAAAGGGTACGTTAACACGGCCACGAGGATTCCTCCGTAGGTGTGCGAGCATCTCGTCGACGAGAGTCGGTGGCCAGACAGCCGGTGCCTGGAAGAGATCAGTGCGGGCGGTTGTACACGAGGATGGCCGGCGACGACGGTGCACCACCGAACAATGAGATCCTCGACGCGGTCGGAGAGGGGCAGGGTGCGTCAGTGCGGGGGGAACCACATTCCAGAGTGGGCGGCATCCTGGAATGCGATCCCCCCGGTAACAGGAATTCGCCGAGCGAGCGAGCCTGCAACGACCACGACGACTGCGACGACGGAAGCGGTGAAACTGTGATCGCCGACGACGATTGTAACAACAGCGCCGTAGCCGTTGGAACCGTGATTGGAGACGATAACGGCGGTCTGTGCCGATATGCTATCGGCACCGCCAATACCGCTATGTCTTTCATCGAAGTTTGCCAGGTAACTATACCGCGCCGATTGCCGGTCTTACGTGCTTTAATCTCCGCTGGCTGTCAATGAGCTCTACTTTCCTCTCTCTCCAACCTTGGCACTTCTCCATGGTTTCTCTCTTGCACGCGTTACGTTCCCCTCTCTTCGTCCCGCTCACGTGAGAAAGCCGCTTTTCAAAGGGAAGATCAATACTGTCCATTTTGCCTTAAAACCACAAAGCAAACATTAAATTATTAATTGTTACCTCCTCTTAGCTCCTAAATAAATCCCAAGTTAGAAATGGTTTTGTATTATTTTTCTCCTTCCATTTATTCTTATTTGACAAATGTATATTATAATCAGGTTTATCATTTATTAACATGTGTTAAGTAGGATAATTTCATTCTAAAGGTCTTATGTATACACATGTTTCACAAAGATGAGACAAGCCGAAACATGTACATTTCTTGTGGAGAGAGAATCGTAAAGTACTTTACCAGGTTACAATCCAAGTCTTTGTTTTCCATGTATAAACAAGAATATTCCATTACTCTAAACTTTAGTAAACCATGATTAGTTTAAGTAGATTATGTCCAATGACCGATAACATTACTTTTATGAAAGAGTCTGTAGGGTTTACCTTATAAAGCGTTGTAATAGTGCTTTTAACTCTACACTATCAAGCTGAAGTTAACAAAAATGCTACAAATCAGTGTAATACACATTAATATCAATTTGAATAGGTCCTTTTAATCCATTGTTCCTTAGTTCTTTATATCCTATCATTGGTTACTCATAAAATTATTACTTAAGCAACCAATACTCAAAGTGTTGATATTGGAAAACCCTAACCTATACAATAGTGCAATAATACATTTTAATCATCTGAAATTCTAACAGTTAAACTTTACATTGATAATAGGTTAAAATAAATCATAATACAATTAATGTAACGTACACAAGGTTTGAATGGGTTAACATATTCGCTACCATTGCTTGGTTGCAATACTATGCATCGCATTCCATGTTGCATTTAATGTAATATATACCTTTCTCAATTCATTACTAGCTTTTATTATTGTAGGAAGAATCGAAACAACAGGTACAAAACATTTGTTGTTCTTTTGCCATGATAATCTTTTTCTTGGTCGCGTTGACTCGAGGATTTATAATAAGTTTCGATAACAATCGTTTCTAAGAAATCATTCGTCGTATTTGATCTTTGATGCAACGAGAACGAAGTACCGTTAATCGTTCAATTACCATCGCGCTTTCTCTTACAGATTTATTTCATAAGATTTTCATTTATCATACATCATTGTTACAAGAATAACGCATAATCGTAGCCTTAGGATTTAGCGTATTTATTCGAATAAATATTTTCATTTTCGATACCTGTCCTCTTTGAATTATTAACTTTTAGAATTAAAAATCTCAAACGAATCGTACCGTTCGTACCAGGAAGATAATTACGAATACATATTATTTTTATTTATCAGCGAGCAAATGTTATTCAATGTTACAAAAAGGATCGTCTCTTTTAGATTCGTCTGCAACATCTCTTCCCGCAATTAGTTTCATCCTCTCAGCGCTACAGCCTTTGCGAGGACTCCATTGAATTCACGGCGGAATGTTTGGCGAACGATGTGATACGATATCTGTTGAAAGAAGATATTTATCTTATATCGCGTGACCCGGTCTCTAGGAGTATGAGACACAATGTGTATCAGATGCTAAACAAACACAGTATCCTATTTGCGAGTATGGTGAACCGTTTGAACGTCGTACCGGACACGGCGTACGAAGCGTTCATGGGAGTCGCGGATGAGCTCTTTTTACACGGTGGAGTTACATGGGCAAGAATCGTTTGTTTGTACGCATTTATGGGCAGACTCGCTCTCTGGGCACGGGACAGACGAATGCACGCTCTGAAGAAGAAATTACCGCTGTACGTCTCCAGATTTATTGGCGAAAAAGTTGCGCATTTTATCAAAGGATACGGAGGATGGGTACGTGACCAGTCGATCAACCAATCGATAGATAGTATTAATAAATGTACTTTCTTGTTCTACTTATTCCAAAATAACTTTATGCTTGTTCAGGATCAGCTGTGTATAGAATATCCCGTGGCAGAAGAGATTAGCGGAGCGATCTGGAGGAGTCTTCTGATGACTGGTGCCACACTTGGCTTGGTTGCAACAATTTTAACTGTAACCTCCTGATACACACTCACAGATCAAGTCGCACAGGGTACGTTTTACGCGAGACCTTTTAGCGTACTTATATTCTACCAAAATGCGTTTAAAAACAATTTCCAAGAGTTTGTACGACGCTTTTCCATTAACATCGAAAATGGAATCGTGTGATTCGAAAGTTAATCTTTCGTATGCATTCCTAATGAATGCGCGATGTGTAAATTCAGCGTCGGCCATGCAGTATGTACAATCATCGTACTAATATCACACGAATTACAAACATCGTACTTTTTTTTTTATGATAATTGCAAGAAATATTTAAACGAGCGAAGGATAACGATGAAAGTTCCCTATTATATTCGTATTGTGTAATAATCGCAGCTCGTTGGACTAGTTGAATTAGTAAAAGAAAATCTTATTTAACGTTAATCTAGATATTTTATCAAAATAATTTTCATACGATACTCAAAATTTGACGTTTCAGATATTTATGTCGAACAAGAATCTCAAAATTATATTGAATTTAGGTAGAAGCAATCTAAGTATATTTATTTATAATTTATTTTAGGTAGAAAATATATTAAATAATAAATTTCCTTGTCGTTCGAAGACCATCGTGGACGCTTAGAATTTATAAAAAGCGATCCATGTGACAGTGCTCGTTAAATATATGGTAAACATCTTTAAACAACATTGAATATTATATGCGGTAGCTTCTAATAACATTGCAAAAAATTTATATAAGTATTCGGAGATAATAAACGTTTCTACAAAATATCAATTTTCTTAGTGGTATCAATTATTTTATGTACCTGTAACAAAAAAAAATTGTTGGATCAACCCCATTGTTTTTGGATACAATAAAAAATATCACTCTAATATATTTGAAAATAGTAGGGAATGATAATAAATGAATGGAGAACAAAGGTCATTGACATTTTCGTAAACAAGTATTCTTAATCGCACTAGGTTATACGTAACATAACCCCTAAAGAACGTAAAAAGGAAAAATAATTTAGGAAGCAGAATTTTATTGCTACCGAACAAATGAATCTCGAAAAGGTATCTTCTTAAAAGATATATAATATTTTAGTACTAGAATTATTAAAAATATATTTTGCAGATGTTGATATAGTTTTATTTAAAGTAGTATACTTATTTAAACATAAATACAGTCTACGTACTACTCAAAATATATTGATTTATCGATGCTAGAATGCAAGTATTGAAAAACCAAAAAATGTCTAAACTACACGATTATTAGTGAGAGTACTACTACATGACTTGCATTATTTTAGTCTTTGAACAAACGAAATAATATTAATAAAGTACCAGCGTGCAGCACTGATCTTTTGATTGAATAATTAAATACATCCTTTTACGTAGCTTTTGTGTACATATTGCCGATAATTGAAAATCATTGGATACAAAAAACGTTCGATCTAAGAACGCCTTCTCGAGTACTACTGTCATTTTTTTAAATGTCAATTTCTTGGTGTTATTGAAAGATTCTAGTACTGTTTATTTTGTTAATAAACGTACACGATTTTAAAGGCAAATAATTATTACACGGATTACATGTAAGTTTTTTAAGCTTTTCTGAATATTTTTTACATTTGTTGAATATAAAAAAAGGTGATTCCCTGATTATTATTTATAATTTTATGCATTACATGAATATACAATACAAAACCACGAAACTAGAGAATAATTTCATGTGAATATATCTAACAGTCTTCTTACTTCTACTCGAATTTTGTGACTGTACAGAAAACAACTGCATTTTACTTTTTTATTCCCTAACGTGGATAATAGTAAGAATCAACAACTTTTTTTTTTAATAAACCTTCAAATGTTTCTACTTTAAGTTTGCTAATATTGATATTACAACTATATATAAGTATGTATTATGCATTTATGTGTGAATATATAACTATATAACTGTACAAACGGAACACTTATTTCGTTCCCCACTTATACAACAATAAGTGATCATTGTATCATGGTCATTAACCTCGAATTAATTGGCTAATGATATATGAAACACATCGTCAGCATTATGAGAATATCACATTTAATAAACACAATTTAACGCAAGTGACAGTACTGTCATGAATGAAATGTGTAATGCTAATTTTTTTTCTTTTAAATTTCGAACAAATAAAGTCATGATATGATGTATGATCACATATAATGAATATGTAAAAATTGTCGTATAAATACATAATGCTAATAAATTGAATCTTTCGTTAAACAATATACTAAAAGTAAAATAGTGTATGCTACAAACTCCTAGAAATATTGGACCCCTTTATATTATGCGAGTTCGATTCTGATAATTTGTCCCGAGCCAACGATTTAGAGATCTACAGAAACTCCTCGATAAACGTCGTAAAATCGGGTGTGATTGGGGATTTGTAACGACTATGCGAGACATTTTTATTCCAGGAATCGATCTTTCTTATTTACACAGCCGTCAATCAAGCGAGTGGTCAAGCCACTTACACCGAATAAACGTAAACAGTGGACATGATCCCGAAATTTGTATCGAGGATAAAAAATCTGAATTCCTACCAAGGAGTCTCTGTGCTTCATCGGCATTTTGAGTATTTTTCTTTTCATAATTCTACATCAATTTTGACTTTGTTGTGCCTATATGTACATGAATCACTGATTGCAAGTATAGCGCCTTTTGATATTATCATGTACAAAAGAAGAATAATAATAATAACAATAAAGTAAACGGTAAAGAAGTATAACTCGATAGACAAATCGCACACGATACTGACGACATGATCACTTTAATTCAATTTTTATAAAGATTGGCAATGATAGCCTGGACGTATTGCTGTCCAAAATAGAGCAAAATGTTAAGATATTTTATGAATCTTATTTGCACCGATAGTCTGTCATGTTCAATTATCCCTTCATAAATCGAATGAACAGGACTGATAATAAGAGACAGATTAAAGTATTCTAGTTCTATATTAACCTTTCCACGTACTATTTAAAGAACTCTTGAAAAGTTTTTTTTCTTTAATGTTCAATTAAATACCTTTCTAGAGAATCTTATATTATTATGAAAAGGTGCACTGTATTATTACACTATGGCATTAAAATATATTAAGCAAATTTGATATAACCTTTTGTTCAGTATTGCGACACACTGTTCGATTTTGTTCGTACTTTCGTGATCGTCTGATGTGTCTGCACATGAAAGTTCATTTGAGATTCGAAAATATCGTATTGCAAGGCATATTATGAAGGATCGAAATATGCAACGATGAATAGCACACAGTAAGCGCAAATTAGCATCAGTAATCAATACAAAAGTATTTTACATTTAACCCGATGGTAATAGGATTCAATTTTAATTAATTCAAAATTCATAACGATATATGTGTTGCCACAGATCATATTGTGTTTAAAGTATATCTAACACGTAAATCACTTGGTGACATGCTCTATTTTTGTCTCTTGTCATCTTTCTTGATTTATCACAGCTGGGGCAAAAGTGACAAGAAGGAAAACTTGTCTCACACCCCTAAAAAATAAAGCTGGTATAGCTCTCTATTCCACATACTCCCACCAGTCCTTTTCATAACCTTCATGTACATGTTCCAAAAGCACTTTTCTCCGACTATCGCAATATCTGTAAAAGTAAGAAAAATATTTTTAATACAATGCCGGGTAAAATACGACTCCTCTCGTAAATATACCCAACAACTTACCTGTATTTATCTTGAACCTTTTGTTTAATATCAGCAAGGTTTTCACTTGTGATATCTCTTTCGAGATATTCCGAGAGACGTTCTGTTGTGCCCTCTAGATCTTTTTGGTTATCTTCGAAAATCACAGACTGGTTGTTCTTTCGCACGTAATAAGCAAAAACGTAAGTATACATAAGAGTCTGTCTACAAGAACACAAAATATCCACTGCTTTTTTTAAGAATTGTACCTGAAAATGACATTATGATTTAATTTAACGCGAATAACGCATTTGTAAAATACACATTTCGTTTGATTTCAATTAATCTTACCTCGATCCATGACATGTTATGTTGTTGCATTTCTTCCATTTTTTCTTTTACACTTGCATAAAGTTTACTTTCAAATTTCAATGACTGCATATGATTCATATATCTATTGCAATAAAATAAGTATCTTTGTAACGCGGATCTTGATTTTTCTTGAGCGTCTCTGGCAGCTTTAGCCTCTTCTTCGTCGTAACGATTACAATTATACCAACTAGATCCGTGCGGTTCCCATGGTCCAAGGCATACCCAACAAAAATCAGTTTTGCAATTCTGATTTTTACAGACCATATGATTACATCCACCATCCTTTTCGATGGTGACATTACATTTGGGACATTCTTTTGTGTTTGCAGCAATCCAATTTGATGTTTCCGAATCATCGTCGCATTTCTTTAGCCATTTACGGAGTAAATGACATTTCACGGGATCGTGCCAATTTTCACCGCAATGGAAACAGAATGTGTGGCCGCACTTGCAAGTCACAGGTCTTGCTTCGATATACTGTACTTTTATAGCATTGTTACAATCTGGAGATGGACACCACCTTAGTAACCTATTACACTGAAAACAAAATAATAATTAGTATATTTTAATAATAATTTTTTTAATGAAAATTCACGAGATAATACTCACTTCGACAAAACTATTTGTTATTAAATGTTGATACTTCAGTTTAACTTTAGAGTCTTTTACAAGACGCATAACGCTCGCATCATCTACTAAAATGTCACAAGCATGTGCTGCACATGCAATTGTTTGACCCACCCCTTCTTCCATAATCTTGGTAGTGAGGTACTCTCCCCAACAACCAGTACAAAAGCGATGTCCACATTCAAGTCCAGTCATCAACTAATTTTTTTATAAAAATATTACATTATAACAAGACAATATTTTTAATATATATTACATTGTATTTAATATAAATCTATGAGCACATACCGCTGTTGGTTGAACCATAAAACAAATTCCACACTCCTCTGTACCATTTGTTGATGTTCTTCTAGACTAGAAATTATAAATATCAATATTATACTCATTGTTTTTTGTATATAGAAAATGAACAAATATGAGTTCACTTACCAAAGAGCTTTGAGAAGATTGATTTCTATTTATTAATGGACCCTTCCTAAATGGATTAATAACTCTTGCTTCTGCAAACAATTTTTCTTGATCCCCATCATAGAAACGTTCCATTAATTTTTCTTTATCCCATTTAAAATGATTCAATAAAATACGTGTGGTTGTTGCTGGTATCTATAGTTAAATCATCAAGTACTATAATTAGATTCAGGTGTAACTCAGAATTTATTTTTTGCCATATTATTCAATATTATTACAATTATCAAAATTTAAAAAACAAATATACTTTTTAAAGTATTTTTTTAACGTACTTCTACAACTGTATTCACTTCTTTTATGGAATCAATCATATGTTGCACTATCTCTTCTGTTGACAAAACTTCAAAAGGATAATCATCAACATCTGTTGTCCGTTCCCTTGGATTTTCAGCTTCTATTTCCATAGCAAAATCCACATCATCCCCACTGGATTCATTGCCAGAATCAACATCATCGTATGTTTCCTCTTCAGAATCCATTGTGTTGTTAATTTATTAAGCGATCAAAACGCCAATAAATTTTTTTTATTTTATATTGTTTGCACCTGCACATAAAACGTCGCTATCAAGAGATACGATAGCAACGAACGATGCTCGATCTTCGTAACCGCATCTCTTCTCTCTATGCTTTATTATGTTTATTCGACTACACGGTAAACACATCGAGAATAATAAAATCACTAACAAGTACGCGTCACGGTTAAACGAAAACAGTACATTAGAACATTTTTATCTCAAAGTGTGCTTCGTAGAATAACAAAGAATTACGAGACGGATAATAAGACCAACGCGAACAATTATGCTCGCGTTAGCGTTATTATTTGTCTTGCTACTTCGCTCGATAGATTTTCGACTAAACTGAATACCACAAAGAAAATATATCGCACCTGTACCCGCGAAATACTGTTGTAGCGGAACAAGGTGAAAACAGCTTATGTTTCAGCACATGACGTCATCGTTCGCTACTTCCCCGAATAAAGCAAGAAGCTTTATCGTGCGTTGTCCCTTACTTAGTATCGAACTACCACAAAAAATTTACTGTCACAACACCACGCGATCCTTCCATTAGCATGGACAGTCCAAAAATTTTCAAAATATTTCTACGGATAATGGTCAGTAAGAATTAAATCAGCTGCCAAAACATCCGAGTTGAACTCCGGTAGCTGTTACACTAAACGCTAGAATCACGGAGCAAACGATGAATGAGTTACCGTGGTGTTAACCAAGCCTCTTAGGTATATTTTATCCAATGGCGTCTTGTGTTTATCGAATTGATATTTTATGTTGTTCTATGGTTTTTATTATTACTAGTTTGCTTTGGAATTTGGTAAATATACATGATATAGTACGACGTAGCTACTCCCAGTTGTAGTTACCGAATGAAAATAAACGTTAGAATAATCGAAAACAATTTTGCTGTAAAAAAGTGAATCCTTACGATACTAATATTTCTCTAACTGCAACTCGATCGTTATTAAATCTACACTTTACGTTAAGTGAAAAAATGTATCTTATTAAATTACTGTAGTTTCTGTGACAAATGTACTAATTGTTTGGAGTAACTAATAATGCTGAGAGATTTATGCAAATAATTAAGACTAAGATAGGAAACTTAAAAAGAACATCATATAGATATGTAATTTATGAAAAGGGGGTAAAAAGTAAGCTGTACTCCATATCGAATCATTGTGTACATGAGATATTACTGTGTAACTATCAAACCAGGGAGATTTCCGTAAAACTGTGAAGATGCGTAAAGATTAGCTAAAGAAAATCTTATTTTGATATTCTCTCCGATTTCGTTAATTTAAAAAGGTTAAACGACACGACACCCAACCGAATCGATGATTTTTAACGAATACAGGAACACCGAACACACTTTACGCGATGTCTCGAAAATTGGTCGACGTTAATACACATCACAGATTTACGAGATGTATTACCATGCACAACAATCTTTTCAGCCATTGCACCCAGCAAGTCACCAAATTAGTAGGCTAATCGGTTAAAACCATAAATTAAACCAGAATGCACCATTCGCCATGAAAGAACGGACGAGCTTATAGCTCAATCTCTGCGGTCACGTCCATAGCAGTGTATGCCATGACTTTTTCTTCGACGATTGACTTAAATTCGCTATCCTTTATTGCGCTCACTGTTCAAAGTCGAGGCTAGCTGGTCGATGAATGGAAATAGACACAAAATTTCGCGCGATACTATCCGAGAAATTGAGAATCTATTAGTGACGGCGACAACAAAATGTCTCGTCACCAAGTGTGCCGTTTTACTGACTGAGTCAACTACTTGAAGTATGCCCCGAACGTGGCGCACAGCTGACGCACATGGGCGTCCCTACAGAGGGCACAATTTTCATATATTTATTTAAATGCCATTTAACAATTTAACTACCGACCTATTTAGAAACAGTTCACATCTCACAATCAGTAAATGATTTTCTACGTTAGTATACAGGGTGTCCCAAAAGTCAGGAAGGAGCCGGAAATGGGGGGTAGCTGAGACGATTCTGAACAACAACTTCATTTGCAAAAATGTCGGATGGGGCTTCGTTAAGGAGATATTAAGCGAAAACCCCGACCAATTAGAGCGCGCGTAGACCGTTGGAGCGGTCGCGGTAGCGAAGGCTACGCGCTGGCGGCCGCGCTTGTACGCGAACAAGTGACTCGACGTGCATCGAAGGACATTGACGCTGCCGCCTAGCGCGTAGCCTTCGCTACCGTGGCCGCTCCAACGGTCTACGCGCGCTCTGATAGGTCGGGGTTTTCTCTTAATATCTCCTTAACGAAGCCCCATCTGACATTTTTGCAAAGGAAATTGTTGTTCAGAATCGTCTCAGCTACCCCCCATTTCCGGCCCCTTCCCGACTTTTAGGACACTCTGTATATTAATGACATTCATTTCTATGTACTGTTTCCGTGAGGAGGGAATTAATAGGCTGCTCGTAATATTGAGTATGTTTGACAGAGAATTAGTTCAGATTTGAGTAACGTACATATTGTACAAGTGCATCTATACATTTGATTTAAGATCATTCAACTATACAAACTATACTAATAAAATGTTCTTGTTGAGTATCATCTTTCCTTGTACGATTAGATTCATACATAAATAAACGTGGTCCATGCGTATGTGTGCACGTATATGTAGCATGTTAGTCGCTATACACAATACATTGAAACTTAGGAATAACACGTTTCAAATTACCGCGCCATGGACGAATCGACAAGTGGAGAACCTCATGGCGTTCTGTCAAGTTAGGTTAACCCCTGCAGTGTTGTAATAACTAGGGTAAATGCCAGTGTGAATTATACAGTTATCAAGTAAAATAAGTTTGCCCACCTATAGATAACAGATCGAAACTTGAGAATAACACGTTTGCTGGACGGATTTCAAGTTACCACGCCATTACATGTACAAACGATAAGTAGAGAAGCTCACGACGCTCTGTCAAATCAAGTTAACCCCTTCAGTGTTGTTATAATCGGAGTAAATGTCGACGTGAATTACATAGTTATCAGGCAAAATGAGTTTGCCAAGCGTGAGTGATTACTTTTTGCTGGAAAAGATCGGCTCGGGGAGTTATGCGACTGTCTACAAAGCATTTAAAAAGGTACGTAAATTTTGAGGTTCGGGTGCATCGGTGCACGAAACGTTATCGCGACAGGGGCGTAACTAGATTCACGGGAACCATAATTTCACCCTCTAAATTGTAAATCGTGACACGTATACACTATATACGCGAAATAGGTAAACGCAAAACTTTTATTTTTGCTCTTAACGCGCGTGCAGCTTTATGACCTACATTTTGCATTATCGAAGCTTACGACCACTTCGTTGCATTTGGCGAGCGATTAATTCTCTTTTTACTTTTGTAGCTCTATACAAAGTTGATTTCAGAACCGAGTTTTCTTTTTTTACAAAATTTGAATACTAATACACAATAGAATACTGCAATGCAGTCGCACGATATCGGTATGTGTCGTGTATCGAACGATTTATGGAGTTCATAATTTTATCACGACTTCGATATCAATGCAAATTTGGCAACTTTTAACCACGCGTTTATTATGGTAATTAAGTACGCGAATTTGAATTTAATGAAAGATTAATGAACCCGTCGCGTGCCTCAATTACCGTAAATTTTAAGCACGCTAAGTGCGATAGAATTAAAACCATGGCAGCGTAAAACATCAGATAAAACAACTATTGTAGTTTTTATCGATTTCACCTTCGAGGTGCTGCGTTTCAGTCGAGAAGATTATTTACTAATAATCGATTACACGATAAGATAAATAAACTGATTTGTGTCTATAGCGAATCTACTTATAGGTACACAATGTTACCACTTTTTAATTTAACAGAAAATAAAAATCGTGTCATTAGGAATATAATTTTTTTTAAATCTCCTGTTAATCTCGATCACTGTTAGCGACGTGAGTGACATTAGACAAATGCCACGAACGTAACAAACACTTACACGTTGTGTCGTCGAACAAAGTTTTTGTGAATACACTAACCTTTGCGCTAGTTTTTTTCTCGCATAGTATACAACGGAAAGTATCGGTTCGTCGGCGTGTCACCGATTCCAGTGCTACTTGTTTTAATGTATTCTAATGACTGGGCTCTGTTCGTCGAGTAGGTGATTTGAGAGGTGGCCAGAAGGGTTGCATTGAAAGAAGTAAGTTATCTCAAGGCGACTAAGCCGTAATGCTATTGTTGGTTGTTCGTAGGATGGATGCCGAGAGGTAGTCGCAATCAAATGCGTAGACAAATCGACGCTGTCCAAGACAGCTATCGATAATATCGTCACAGAGATTAATCTCTTAAAGATTCTCAAACACGAGCACATAGTGGAGATGAAGGATTTCTTCTGGGACGAAGGGTTAGTTCGGTTCATTCCCTTCGAATATTGAAAAATTAAACGTAAAAAAGACTGTAGTTGCTAAATCAGGAACGCTAAGGAGTATTTTTTTTGTTTGCAACGAGCGACTTTCGCGAATGAAAATGTAAATTTTCATATTTTTCACTGTATCTTCGTGAAAATATTATTAGTAGATTAGCAAGGATTTCCCGATAAAAATGAGTCCAAATACGACCACATTCGGACTATTTTTAATTATACTTAATTTGAATTACTTCTGAATATTGTAAAGCACCATTTACCGACTGAAAAGGTGCAATCTACGGGAGGTGGGGGGACCTAACCTTTCAAATCACGTGATCTAGATTACATCGTCTTTTAACAACTGCGATGATATCTGGAGAGTAATAATTTTCCTTCCCATATTGCTTATGTCGACCTTAGAGATAACTATTAAATAACACTGTACATTATACTCTGAAATTTTAATCCCGTAGTATCGGATATCGATTTTGAGTAAACCAGTCCTAGTCTGTCGAGTCACGTGATCGTGATCGCAGCGCCTTCTAAGAATCGCGATGACTTCTTGGAGGGGATTTGAACTTCTCCTCCTCTCCTGCCCTATGCAGGGCTGGCTATACAACTTGCTGTGCCCAGTGCAAGAAAAATTGTTATTTTAAGTAAATAATTTTTCTTCGCTTTTTATCCTGATGGCATTACAGTCTTTTTTATAAATACAGTCAAGTCCAAGGATAGGCATAATTTTATTCGAGTGCTACGCATTATCGAAAAATTTTGTAAAATCCACTGCTCGAAACGATTAGGAGATCATGTCTAATTTATACAGGGTGTTCGTATATCAATGGACCAGTGGTATTCATAAAAATAAACGAAAAAGTGTTTGTTGTCAAACTTTATTAATCACGAATCATCCTCCCCATTAACAAGTATCCCATTACAATATACGCTGATAGAAGAATCAGGAACTTTCCCTCCTCGTACACTAATCACTATCTCCCATCCACAAGCACGATTATATGGACGATTACTATTAAAATATATCAGTAGAGAAATTTCAATGAAACATGTAAAGAATAAGTATGTTCATATAGAAAAGAATATTTAAGTTATCTACATTCTTCAACATTAAATTATCGTCTTTCGCGTTTCCCCTTGAATTGCAAGTCACCCCCTCTAGGAGTCGCGTTCAGTGTTGCCAGATCGCAGCCAAGTGTCGAATGGAATTTCCCCCTCCACTTATATATTACTAATGCATGAGTGCATAGGTGTGTTGTATATACTCACTCGTGCATTAGTATGCGTAAGTGGAGGGGAAAATTCCATTCGACTTCCAGCAAGTGATGCCAGGCGGAGTATCGGAAGTTCTCAACCGCCATATTGAATTTCCCCCACCACCACACATATACCAACGCACAAGTTCCGTGTACGTAAGCTTGAAATCTCATATAACTTCGGAAATTCGAGAAGGTGAAGCAAATGTGAGGGTCTCTTCTTCGCTTTCGAGTATCCCAACTTCTGGAAGAGGACGAAAGCTCCACATTTGGCTTCTTTGTCGAATCGCTGAAGTTACTTGAAGTATCGAAGCTTGCGTATATTAGCCTCGTGTGTTAGTATATGTTCGGTGGTGGGGAAATCCAATATGGCGCCAGAGAACTTCCGCCGCTGCGTCTGGCATCGCTGCTCGCGATTTGGCAGCTCCGCTCGAAACTGGCCTAACTCATATATACATGCTCGTGCATTAGTGTGCTTCAGTAGTGGGGGAAATTCCACCCGACTGCTGGCTACGATATGGCATCACTGGTCGCGCCCCCTAGCTTGGAAAACACTAGCGTAGAGTCTCTTTATGTGACGTTTCCGAGGTGTTCCGATTGTACCCGAGTGATAAGTACATATGATGCTACATACTCGGCTCGGGTACAGTCGGGGTATATCGGGTGCGACTCGGAAATACCGAGAGGCTTGATACATAGTACATAGTTGGTTGAAATAGGCTTCAAGTCCCGAGCTCTGGGAGCTCACGCGGTTCAAGTCATAAACTCTAGGCTCGAACCTTATGCTTTCTACTTATGTAGGCTTAAAGACTCAGACTTTCAGGTTCAACCGTGAATCTTCGAGGACCACTTGATCCGTCTCTCAGGTATAGTCATCGCCGCCGTTAACTGGCGCCAGTTGAGTAGCCTCAGTTGAGTTTACGTATTTCCACGTCGAATCCCTGCTGAACTTTTCCTTGGGCCAATAGTAGAGAGCAAACGCTCAGCGTTGCCATATTTAAGAAGGAATATACGATTCTTTTATCATGTTCTTCTGGCTGACGGGAAGAGGAATTCACCCACATGGCAGGATGTCCTTCGGATAACCTTGGACAAGAAAATGCCACATTCGATCGGAAGTGGCGAAAGCGTATGAGACTCGTGGAGCCTTTGTGCGTAACTCGTGTGTGCATCGAATACTTACCTGTAGTCGTCACTGTTCCTCGTGGTTGCGAAGGGGTCAAGGGAGTTTTTTGAGTACTATTTTGAGAAAATAAACATTAATAATTAAGCAAAAGGAGATTAATATGATAAGCGCGTCACTTGGTTATTCGTACATAGGCGTCTATTTATATTTTGAAGAGGGGGCGTTAATTAATAATTTGTAGAGGAGGAGGGGGGGGGAGGGGGCTTTGAACACGCTAAGATCGGCCCTGCTGGGAGCCCTCCAGCTGGTGGGGGGGCCCTGGATCGTATCCCCCTACGGCTCATGCCTTAATCAAGACCCTGAGTGGGGGTTCTCGTTCTTGGCATTTCCCCCACCAGTCAAGTCAATTCCTTTGTTCACTCCACTATACGTAAAACTGCGTTAGTATAGCAGATCGAGGATCGCAGGTACTTATTCGCTCATACTCAGTGTCACATGTCGTTTGACGAATTTCTTACAAGGTGGCACAAATCAAGCAAAATATATACCTATATACAAATCAATGTTTTTTTTTTTTTTTTTTTGGAATTCATAAACAAAGGAAGATTTGTTTAGCATAGATTCTTTTTCATGTCTTGTTCGCCTAAATAAGAAATAGGATACGAATAAAAGTAGCTAACTCTTACCGTTACCCTGACAAAGATAAAGATGTTTTAATTTGGCTTGCTTAAAACGAATGGTACCGTAACTCTGTCAGGAATACTTGAAGGTATGGGGTCAACAACCGAAACGAATGACCATATGTATTTCAGTCACAGGCGTGTGATAATGGAAAGAAAGGTTTTCATATTTAAGCATTGATCTTGCAAGCATAATTGATTTCTCATTCGTGAACGTTAGGAAAGGGGGTGGTCGAAAATGTGATATTTTTGCAAACACATGGCGCTCTTTGACAGAGGAAAGCAAGCTGGTAGATTTACAACAGGTGAGGACTCGGTGTTCCGTTGCTTAACCTCGCTTCCTTCTGGTCAACATATGTGTCGCAATGAAAGGCAAAGAATTTTTATGGAAAAATTTGGAAAACTGACAATGCTCGTTTACGACATCCTCTCTGAATTGTACTACCCCAGTTGTAAAGGTTTTTACGAAAAGTTATCGAGAACCCATTGGCAAACGCTGAAGTCTAAAAATTGTTGGAAATGAACAATCTATTGGAAAATAATAACAAGTGGTTAATAAACGAGGCGATGTTGCTGATGGGAACCTTTTTTTTATTTTTTATTGCAGCGGAAATAAAATATTTGTACAGCTCGAACTGAAACAATACATTGGAATCTTTTTCAGCTACCAAAAGGGCATCGAATTGCCCATCAATTTGTCCATTTATTGGGTGTTTTGAAGATGTTAACAATATGAAATTTCATCATGAGATTCATAGGTTGCTCTGTACCAGAGATACGAAAAATATCATTTTATTTAAATAATATTAATTGCATTGAGTAAATAACGAGTCGAAAGTTGTTTAAACACTTTTTCGTTTATTTTGCTGAGTACAACTTCTGTGTTATTCATAAAACACTTAGACATGCAATATAATGTATATTCATTTATGTATATTGCATGTATCATGTACGTGTCACTATTGTGTTTTACATACAGATGACACAAAGTGCATAAGCAAATGTAACCGGGTTAATGAACATAAAAACTTTCCATGTATGTACATTTCATGTACACGATTCACATACGCTGGGTATACCATATATTACACGTGTAATATACATTCATACCTATGCAGAGTGAATCGATACACTGAAATACTTGAAAAATATATTTCTGATGTGCATTAAGAAAAACAGCTACGTGCACGACACTCTATACACACTGAATATGAAATAGTATAATACGCTTAATCAACAATGGATATAAACATCCCATACAGTGGAACATACGCAAATAAAGTACAAGAGTGAATGTACATATTATACCATGCGATGTATAACCAAGTAATGCGTATGAAATACATGTACGTTTTACGTACAGGACATTACTTTCACGTCATAGAGAAAGAATCTGCATGCGTACATAGTATATCGAATGCTACACGGGTAGTATCAGGAATCTATGAACATCCTGCGATCGTTCGAGTATCGATACCCCACTTAATGATAAAATTATGCCAGTAGGTGATCCACTGACTGTTTCGAGCAATCTATACAAAGGTTATTTTACACACTCTATCGTGTAGCTTAACGCAGGCACATATACATCGTGATGGAATACTGCGACGCCGGTGATTTATCCAGTTTCATCAAGAAGAAGCACAAGCTACCCGAACAAATATGCCGGAGATTCCTGCAACAGCTCGCGCTCGCTTTAAAATACATGCGTGATAACAATGTCTCCCACATGGACTTAAAACCGCAAAACTTGCTGCTAATTAGAAAGCCCCATTTGATACTAAAAGTCGGAGGTTAGGATAGGACAGACCTCGCTCGAAATCTACGAAACCTCCCCTTGCCCCACAACATTGGTTTGTTCAACCCTCTGCGGTCCGATGTCGAGTGGTAGCCGACGAGAATGTAACGAAATCCGAAAATCTAGACCGCGATTAACCATTTGAATTTCTGAGCCGCGAAGATCAAATTCCTCGCAATTTCTCTGAAATGAGATACACCCCCTTCTAATTTGAGTTTGGAAACTATCGAATAGAGACTCCAAAAGGCGAGGTCGTTGGATTGCGATGAAAATGAAAAGCATCATAGGCACCCCTACTCCAAGAAAATACAAAATTCCACAAGACCTTGATTATTCACTATTTTTTGTTATTCCCAGAGATAGGATTCTTAAATCCTCGAAACCTCGAGTCTTCCAGCCATTCTTCGTGATGGATCTCCTAGATCGATCACTGCAGGGAGGTAGAAGGTTTCGTGATTTCGAATTAGGTCATTTTCCAAGCCAACCTCGCCTCTCGACTTGTTCGCCACTAATTCTCTCATTCCAGATTTCGGTTTCGCGCAGTACCTCTCGAATTCGGAGCAAAAATTTACGATTCGGGGATCCCCCCTTTACATGGCGCCTGAGATTTTATTGAAACGCAAGTACGACGCCCGCGTCGACCTTTGGAGCGTCGGTGTGATCATGTACGAATGCCTTTTCGGAAAAGCTCCGTACTGTAGCAGCAGTTTTCAAGAACTGGCAGACAAAATCAAGGACTGCCGACCTATAGAGGTGACTACTATACGGATCTGCTTTGCATAGCGCCAGAAATGAACCGTTCATTGTGAAAATGGTAAATGGTTGTTTTTCCAAAGGGAGCTCTAGGGGTTTGTTTTGGCCCCAGACTTAACCCTTGCTTTGGTCCTTCGGACCAGGAGGACCTCGAAACCCTATTGCAGAAATATAAGATCCTAAATGGAAGTGGTCCTGAGTCTCAATTTGTCCACTGTATGTTTTATCGAAGTCTGTGCGAACTACCCCATTTTGCAAGAAGATGGACCTCTACCACATCCATAATGAACGGCTCAAATGGTCTTACCTCGCATCATTTTTCACCGTTACTTTATTCCTTTTAAACAGGAGAACCTCCTGCGATAGAACCTCCGTTATCCGAAAGCTCTATTATTCCAACGTTCTATTACTTCAACGGTACATATATTTCCGTAAATTATCCTTTTCCGTATAGAAACATTCTTCTATAACGGCGGAGATTAATTTCGATCGCGACCATATGCACGGTCACTCGTGATAATGGAATCACAATGGAAAAAGCGCGCCGTAGAAGTAAAGCACAGGGCGATTGCGACAACAGAACCGCCATTTTTCTCATTAAAATTTTAATTCAATTAAATGAGATTTTTAATTTAGTTAAATAAAGTTTTTTAAGAATTTGCATCAACAGTGCATGGTATCAGTAGAATTGCGATTCATGCTAGTAGAAATGGGGCATTTATTGTTTGAGATTAGGGTAAGTTGAGAATAGTTGGTAACTTTTCCTGATCTTTTGTCTATGCATTTTGTGCATGCATATGATAATGTTAGTTATTAATTATTAATATTTAGGTGTAGATGAAGTACGTGTACACATGTATAAACGTACGCAATTTACACACTTGCTGTATCTTCTATATATAAACATAGAAAGTATGTGGCCAAGTATAGTTGCGTAATCGACTGTAATTATAGCTAACATATAATTTGTATTTACATACATATGCAACATATGTCAATGCACATAGATTGGCACACGAAAACATATGACGTAATTAAGTATAACTGTATACGATACCACTCGTGTGCGAACGGTATACATACGAGAAGTGCCATCTAAATATCTTGAAAATTATGAGAAGGTCAAGTCTACATGTGATTGGTTCGTGACAGTGGACGCGATGAATCAACGTCGATGACTTCAAACTAATTTTTCTCAAGGTCATTTCGTCAAGATCTCAAAGTTTATGTCCGCGATTACATTTACGAATACAGTAACATCGCGATAACTTTAATAATACATAGTGACCTTCGTCATGATAGTTTTGCGCGAAACACGAGCACGCAGATTATGACTTATTGTGAGACGAAAAGCGACCTAAGTAAAATTTATAAAATATATAATATATATATTTAATAACAAATGACTCATCGTAAGCGCACGTTCTGATACGCACAATCACAAAAAATTGAATGGTTAAGGTCATACGAAAATTGTGTTTTTTGATTTCAACATATAGCCGGAATAATACTCTCGGATTTATGGAAGTATGTTGTAAAATTAGATACATCAATTTCTTATTTATCCCAAGTAATAATATCCAATAAGTGGATCGATAAAGGAGTTTCTATTGTTTCCAAACGCTCCCATCCACCACCATTCAGCGTGAAAATTCGTTCTTCTTTTGAATTGTTTATTGAACTTGTTCTGGAACGATGATGCTTACGCCTGCCATCGTGAACAACAGTTACCGAGAGGATCGCACGTGTCGCGCGAGTGCCGGAATTTATTGACGTCCTTGTTGAAGCACGACCCTGACGAGAGGATATCGTTCAATGATTTTTTTGCCCACGATTTTCTGGATCTGGCTCACGCGCCAACCAAGGAAAATTATGACAAGGCGGCGGAGTTAGTGCAGAAGGCTGTGAAAATGGACGCGGAAAACAATCCTAAAGAAGCGTTTCACCTTTACTGCGAGGCTCTTACGTACTTCATTCCGATACTCACAAGTAAGAACCTGCGATTTTACTGTTTAACGCTAGGTTTACCGAGATTTCTTATCAGATTTCTATTACCGAAGTATCGCTTTAATAAGCGAAGTCAAGTAAAACTTTGTGAAAATAGGAATGGGTCAAAATGATCCGTGAACCCAGTGTTAATACAGCAGAACCTCGTATAACGCGACAATATCTCTCGTATGATACGAATAGATTGTATAGAACGTAAATCGTATATTTATTATAATAATAGTGTAATAATGTATTCATAAACAGATCGATACGATGGATCGATAAACTAAAAATATGTGTATGGTACGTTCTTAGGTGAGACCGACTTTAAACGGAAAGAGATTTTGAGGTCACACGTAAATAGTTACATTAAGAGAGCGGAGGTATTGAAAGGATCATGTACAGATGCTAGTAACGAGAAAGATAAATGTTTACGGTTAGGGGACAAAGGAAATTCTTCGTCGGTCCACAGAATACCATCTTTGAACCAAACATCTTCGTTTGTGTATCACGAGCTACGTTTGTATCGCAATTCTCAGACAACAATTAAGTTATATGCAAGACTGTATATTTATTACGATTCAAATATCCGTGTATTTATCAATAGGAACTCTTAGCAAAACCACAACCAATATGGCGGATGCGCTAGAAATAGGAGAAGCTGCCGAACAATATCTTACGGAAGGGAATTATGGGCTCGCGTTAGAAAAGTTTCAATCTTGTTTAGGACTGCTGTTGCCTTTGTTGGGTAAAGAACCTGCGGGTCGAAGGAGAGACTTGTTATATAAACAGGTGATTATCTACGAAAGTATGAACCCCAATTTTACCTCGTACACTTCAAAATTTCAATTTCCATGTTAACGTTCGAATAGTTTCAAGAACGAGTAAACCAAGATAGAGGTATTACAAAGGGATTATACAGAAGCGACTCAAAATTCTATTTTTTATGTCCTGCCTTACGAAGGTATAGAATAGGGATTGCGAAATAAAGAAACATAGTTTATTCTGATGGCTCACTTGCAATCCAAGTGCAACCTACTGTCGCAACTTTCAGTTATATAAAATTTTATATAATCAGGGGTATTATATAATAATCCTACGATGTTTATGTGTGTGTTTCACTTTATTTACAGATAAACAAAAAACAAAGTCTTATTAAAGCAACCGCTTCTATCATTCCCACTACTCTCAGACTCCCCTGCTCCCGCCACTCTTCCTTCCGCCATTTGCGAAATTAATAATAATTGATTCGTCTTATAATCTGCATCTCTCGTATATATCTGCATAAAACTCATTATTTATGGTAGCGTTATCAAAATTTTGTTCCCGTTTCAAAACGAGGGTGGCGATTTCATCTCTTAAATTTGAGTCGGTAATTCGTGGTTGTCCTATAAACTTGAAAATGGCCAGACGTTTCGTGGATGTTCTAGTTTGTCATCGTGCATATCAAAAATCCGTATACTTAAGAAAATGAGGGCAATTTAGTGGCAGCTATCATACATTGCCCTAAGCGCCAGCCTAAAGTAGATAAATTGGGTGAACTTGACTCCAAGTTCTGGATCTTCGAGGTTCCATATCTTCTCCATTTTTGGTTTGCGAGTTACCACACAATTTAACAGAAGATGTTAATGTTTTTTTAATCCACAGTTTCAGCTTTGGATGAAAAAAGCCGAAAGCACCAAAGGCCTTTTACAAGCTACGAAAAATATGGAAGAAGTACAGCGTGGTTCCGATTTGTCCGAATGCGCACTGCAATAATTTTGCATTATCACGTTCAATGCAGATTATTATTTCCACTGAAATTGTTTATTTAAATTTTGTAAATTAAATAGAAACCATACGCGTTACTTTGCATTGATGTATGTAAATAAAATGTGCATATTAATTTATGGAGAAATAAACCACTTTGTATTACACTTTTCAATATAAATTGTATTACTTTATAAACGATATCCTGTCTTTGTGGTACATTATTTGCGATGTTACACATTCCAAAGGTATACATGTTATGTAAACAATAATATATTATTACCCTTTTAGGGAGGCATCAGACATTGTTCAGACATTATATGAAGAACTAGTTCTTACACATACTATGCAAATAGAAATAAAGTAATAGCAAAAAGGAAGTATTTTATGCTTCTAATTTACATTTGCATTCATAAATAATACGTGTATACATTATACTTTATATTACAATTAACATAAATTTTAAGATAGCAGATACATAATGCTTGCCTTATACGATCTGAAACATATACTTTAATAAATAGTCTACCATTCAAACGCTTTACATGTTTATTTATTACATTAGATTACAAAAAGAGTCACTTAAGGACACGTTAAGACTATTTACATTTCTTTAGAGGTACTGATCTCGAACAATTAAGATTCATAAAATTGTACTTTTTTTTTACTTCAATTGTATATCTCGACAAAGAGAAAGAGAATCGTGTTATTCTTGTTATGGCATTAACTCCGTTTTGCGTTAGGGAGGTTCTAGTGCGACCTTGACGCTTCGAAGAAAATGCGATTGCAAAATTGATTTCTAAATATAAAAAAATCGAACGAGAGAAAAAGAAAAGCGGTGAAAATCGCGTGATGTCGTTAAAAAAATATTCGATTACGGAAAGAAGTAGATTATCCTCGGGTAAAACATTGGGACTTGTGACGGAAGAAGAGGGCGCGCGCATCGTGGCGCGTCGCCCTTACGATTTCCGGTAAAGCCACGTGACCCAGCTAACGGTCGCTGTTGCCCTGAAGCGTCATGGAAAATTCCCATTCCCGACCAACAACCCTTCCCCTCCCTCCTCTATGTACATACCCCCTGCTCGCCCCTTCTCCTAGAGAGTCCCCACTATGGCGTTGTCAGGTACTTATGTACATCCCCCACTCCTGTGCGAAATTCTCCTTCCCCCACCACCTGGCCGGTGGTACCGGATGTGCGGCAACGTCGCAACCGTTAAGTACATAAGGACGAGTGGTAGGGGGACGGAGGGGGATACGAGAAAGAACTGGCAACGTGTACCACATTCAAATCTGGACGGAACCCGGTCGGCCTCTCGGTTCACCTCCGCACAAAACAGCAGAAAACGCGGGCCGCGAGAGAATTGCGTGCACAGTTGGAACGGGTGATCGACAAACGTTTTCGCGCGATCTAGTCCCGCGATCTTTTTGTGCAAAACGTCGTGTCCCATTGTCAAGTACACTTACAAATAGATTAACAAACATAGAGAGCGTATTTCGCGGCGCCCTCGCGCGACACGACCCTTTCGCTTTTCCCCCCCGTGCAGTGAGTATTTCGCGCGCGCGCACGCAGTTTAATGTAAATGTCACGAGAACGAAGGGGTAGCGAGACCGCGTGGCGGAAGTGTTGTTTCGTGTGGTGGAATTATGTGCATGGACATTCAGGTTAACGAGAAGAAGAAGATGATGAATGACAAGAATCACGACGAAGACGTACAAGTCGTCGAATGCCGAGTCACGATAGGTAAGCTTTGAGGTTATGGGTGGCGGCGGCGGCGGCGACGACATCAGACTCGCGCGTATCGTTCTGCCTCCCTTCCCCCACTCCCCAACTGTCTTCTTTCTCTCTATGTGATCTATCTCTGTTTCTCCTCCTACCGCTAGTATTACTCTCTCGTTGGATAACTCCTCCGTCCTTCTTCCTCTTTTGCTGTATTCCTCACTCGATTTCCTACCACGTCCAATCGCGTTACCATCGACTTTGCGCGTGTGTATGTGTTTGTGTTCGCCCAGTGCCTTCAAGTACACATCATGCTTTCTGTGTTTTGTACGAACTGCACCTCGTGCAGACCCGGCGAAACGTGGTCCCTCGATCTGACTACCTGTCAAACATCTGTAACTCCTCTGCTGACCACTTAACGTTACAACATTGACACGTGGAACTTGGATGTACGTATCCAAAGTCTAAGACGTGCTTTTCATTAAGTCTTCTCTAATTTTCAAAATATTTGTACAACTAGTTGACAATGACTTTTCAATGACTCTTCTGTTTGTAAATATTGAAATTAGCGTGTCTGAACTCGTCGGTTTACGAATAGGTCAAATTTTAAGTCACGTGGGCATACAATTATTTATTGTGCTTTCTTGCGAGGGATACAATCAAACCGATGGATATATGAATTATTTTTGAACGATACGCGATAATGTAAATAATAGAAAAGAAAGTATCGATGTATCATTTCATTATATTATCGTAATATAGAAATCACGTGACTGTTTACTAGGATTCTTAAGTTTTTTTTTTAAATTTCTATCGATGGTATTTGTATCCCATCTACATAGTTTACAAAAATGTTTGTACATTCTGCCGAGTACTAGTTATAACTTATTGTTTACATTGTACTTACAAATCTTTGACAAGAAAATTTATTTTCGATATTTCTTCGATGTATGATCGATAAAAGGATGTTATTCTCATTTCAACTTATCCGTCTGTGCTTGCAAGGTATGACGTCACGGTTTATTTAAAGCAAATGGTAAGATGATCCTAGCAATATCGTAGATGTTTTTTAGAAAGAAGCTGTGTTACGAATACTTAAATTAGAGAATCACACAAGTACGAAGCTTGAAACGTGTCAATTTTCATCAACAATCCGTGTAAATAGGAAACTCTCTTGAACGTCAGAATGTAATTTTACATTTTTATAAAAATGTACCTACTTCAAATTACTGTGAATGACTTCCCACACATATTTATCCGTTATTTATTTATCGAAATACAGTATACATGTATGTATGTATACTGAAATTTGAGGTTAGGATAGTTCGCTTTTTAAAACCAAAGAGTTTTATACAATAGTTTGTATTACCAATTTAAGTAATTTTTTGCTCGATCATTTCAGTGCAACTAAACGACATAAAATATATAACGTTAACGTTAGTGCATACATGTATACAGTCCACATGAATGCAGTATACTTTTCAATTTTTAAAGATGATCGTCATTTGTTTATCAATCGAATTTCATCCTATTTTTCAATTATTTGTTGTGTGGTTAGAAACTACTCTATATAAGACAGAATTTTTGTCGAAGTGTTATTTAAGTACGTATAGACACCACGACGTACCTTGATTAGCAACACCAATGATCATTCTACTATCAATATGTGAAGAAATAATTGGTACAACACAAAAGGTGGAAGAACATCGAAAGTTAATCGATCGCAGACATTGGCGGGGAATAGTATGGCGGCCGTCTTTGAGATTGTTATGATCAAAGAAAATGGTACTGTTTTTCCTTCATACTTAACGTAATTACAGAATTCTCGGCGCCACGTGTTAGCATACTTAATAGAAAGTAAACAATTATTATCATCGAGTATGACATTTTAAATATACAACAACCGTGTAAGGGAGATTCATAGTTATATATTATTTTTTTATTAATTTATATAGAATGTACGAATAAAAATTGTTGCGTTCATACAATAAATTTCAACGGTTTGTTAAAATTTCATGTTATCGATTTTTTATATAATTTTCACCAGGCATAATATAGTAACTTTATATATATATATATGTGTATAATAAATAATTTTTTCCTGTTATAAAAGTACGTTTTTTTTCGAATTACTTAAATATTTATATTTAAATTTGTTTAGCGAATATGTATATTAAAAAATATTAATGTTTTAATTGTGAAACAACTTTATAAAAATTTGTGAACATATCGATATAAAATAGATTTTTAATAGGTGAATTTCAAATGAGAATTAGTATATTTTATTACAGCCCATAAATTACCGATAACACAACATCTATACTGTATGTACTAGCATTCGTTCTAGTTGTTCCGCACCTCTACGCCTCGTGTAACATGGATCACAGACTCGCTCCTTCGCGAGCGAGCGTCCGCCCGTTTACTCCGCCGGCATATATATGCTAAAGCGACTATATACTCTGTACATAGGAGAGCGTGAGCTTGGGGGGGAAATATGTGCACGCGCAGTACATAATGTACCCGCCCCTATGTACTACATAAGAACCGAAGAATGATGTAACAAAGAGGCAGTTTCACGGACTTTGCCGAGGACTCCCGAGGCAACGGCTTCGTACAAGTCGCATGCGTACTTGTATGCTATGGGGACAGACACAATGAAGCTTGTCAGCTGCTACAAGTGTACGCCGCCATGTGCAATTCTACTGAGTTGCGCAAAAAAATTACGTCTACAAAAATGATAGAACATACTTGTACGATTCTTTTCCATCGTAGCAATCGAACATTCACCTTTCCACTAAACATACGTCGCGTACCCTCTGTTATGAAATGAACCAAACGATGACCTTCAAGTCGTTCGTCTTATCACGATGGAAGGAAGCATATTCCGTTTAAACGTGCCTAGATGTACAATATTTCGCTGCGTTACGTAATGTTTGTTCTAATGATTTCATAATTGAACAAAACGTAATAACAAACGTTTCGTTGTTGGAGAGGAAAAAGAGACTAGAAAATGTCAGAGTATGTAAGAAAGACTGAGAAATATATCGCAGTTGTGGCAAAGAGAATGAATAGATTGGAAGAGGGCACATCCGGTTCGACGCCATATTGTTCTTTGGTAATCTCTTCCCCCTCCATTTTCCACCGTTTCCCCTCCCTTCAGACTAAGTGTGCCTTCGCTCGGCATAGCAACAGCAGCAATAGGGGGCTACTATAAATAGATCGCTACGACCTTCCAGTGTTGCCAAAACGACTGGCCCAGCGTACATCGTGGAAGAAATCGGGCCAATCAAGGCCGCATCGCCCATTTCACGATGGCAACGTCGCATCATTGGAATGGTGATGTTTTTGTTACAATAACTTTTAAAAAAAGCTGACGACGAATAATCAAACGTTTTAACTTATTTATATTTAATTAGTTTCTTTCAAATTTTGTAATTCTCTCGAGTTTTATTTTGGTCTTCAATTTTCCGTGTTAGTACATTCAGT